GATATGCTTGCAGAGCTATAAATTTTCCCCTTTATTAAGGCTTTCCCTGCATCCCATAGGTTCTAGAAGCTGGTGTCTTCATTCTCATTTGTTTCCAGATATCTTTTGATTTCATCCTTGACTTCACTGTTCAGCATTGAGTTGTTTAATTTTCAGGCGTTTGATTTGGTTCTCCATGTCTGTGTGTGATTCATTTCTATCCTCAGTGCATCATGGTCTGAAAAGATGGCTGACACTATTTCTATCTTCCTGATTCTATTGAGGTATGTTTTGTGTCCTAGCACATGGTCTATTTTGGAAAATGTTCCGTGTGCACTGGAGAAGAATGTGTATTCTTTCTTTCTGGGGTGTAAAGCCCTTTCTCTTCTATTTATTCTTTCAAAGCCAATGATTCCTTGCTGGGTTTTGTTCTTGTTGATCTGTCCAGAGGTGATAAGGCGATGTTGAAGTCTCCAAGTACTATTGTGTTGCTAGCAATGTCCTCCTTAAAATCTGTTAGCAGTTGTTTTAAATACTTAGCTGTTCCCTCATTAGGTGTGCATACATTTAAGAGTGTGATTTCTTCCAGTTGTACATCTCCCTTAATGAAGAGAAAATAGCCTTCACTGTCCCTTCTAATCTTTTTCAAGGTGAAATTAATGTTGTCGGATACTAGTATGGCCACCCCAGCTTTTTTGCTGGAGCTGTTTGCTTGTGGGATTATTTTCCATCCTTTGATTTTGAGTCTGTGTTTGCTCTGAGTGTTGAGATGAGTTTCTTGTAGGCAGCAGAATGTTGGGTTCTGTCTCTGTATCCATTTTGCCACTCTGTGTCTCTTAAATGTTGAATTTAGACTGTTGACATTGAGAGAGAGTATGGTTATGGGGTTTTGTTTCATCTTTCTGTGCGGGTGTGTTGTGGTTGTAGGGTTTGTCTTGTCTTATAGTAGCCCCTTTAGGCCTTGTTTTAGATTGGATTTTGAGTCTATGAAGTTCCTGAGCTGCTATTTATCTAGAAAATAGTGTACCGTTCCTTCACTTTTGTGTGAGAGTTTAGCCAGATAGAGTCTTATTGGTGAAGCATTCATTTCAGTGAGTTTTTTCACTATATCTCACCACTGCCTTTGGGTTTGGAGGGTTTCCTCTGATAGTTCTGCTGTGAATCTAAGGGGTGCTCCTTTGTATGTGATTTCCTTTTTTGCCCTTGATGCTTGCAGTATTGTGTCTCTATTGACAGCATTGATCATTCTAACTATGATATGTCTTGGAGTGTTTTTGTTAGGGTCTCTTTTAGCTGATACTCTTCAGGCTTCTTGAATCTGAATGGCTGGTATTGTGGAGCTCTGGGAATTTCTCAGCGATAATTTGTTTAACTATGGTTTTTTCATTGGGATTGTTTCCCTGAGCTTCTGGTAGACCAACGATTCTAATGTTGTTTCTTTTGGAATCATCTCCTAGGACTGTGATTCTCTGTAGAGCTATTTTGAGGTCCTTTTTCACTGTTTGTTGTTGCGTATTGGCTTGGTGCAGTTGATCTTCCAACTCACTGATTCTTTCCTCAGCTGTGGTCATTCTATTTTTGAGGGCACAGACTGAGTTTTTGATTTCATCTATGGAATCTCTGATCCGTGCCATTTCTGTGTGAACCTTTCCAATTTCCGCTCTCATTTCTTCCTGTATTTTGTTGATTGTGCAATCGATTGTTTCTTTCATGTCCTCTTTCAATTTACTGGATATCTGTCTGATTGTTTCATTGAGTTGATTGAACATCTTAATGGCTTCATATCTAAATTCTTTGTCAGAGAGGTCGCTAAGGTGGCTAGCCCTTACTGAGGCTTCTGGACTTGTTTCCTCATGGTCTTCCTGTGGCGGGGATTTGCGTTGTTTCTTCATGTTTGTGTGTAGGTGTAGGGCTTAGGTTTCTTGGTATGAGTAAACTATTTGCGGCCGCGTGAGCGTTTTCCCACCCAAAATTAGACCACGCCCACTTTAAAAAGCCACGCCCACTTCTAAAGTGGCCACACCGCCACGGATACCTGGTGTGTGTCCGGGGGAGTAAAGACTGGCTTGGGCGACGAAAAGGGAGAGGTAGAGAGGCTCAGATCTGCTTTGTCTCCCGGTGTCCAGGGGATGCCTGGGGGCTTGCACGGTGAAATCCAAGTCCCGGGTTTGAGATTCGGCGGGAAAACTGACCTGAGTTGGGAGAAGAGACCAGCTCGGCTTGGGCGGCGGACAGGGAGAGGCAGAGAGGCTCAGATCTGCTTTGTCTCCTGGCGTCCAGGGGACGCCTTCAAAGTAATTCTTGAAATCATAATATAATTATGATTCCATGACAATAGACTAAAAAATCATTGTGTTTAACTTCATTTTCTTATTTCTCAAGTAATGTTTTTGTTAGTTCATTGGATTATTTGTTGTGGCTATGTAAGATTAGGGATTTGGTGTATGTGGCGGTATCCTAGTTAGGATACAAAGGTGACTAACACATTCCCTTCTAAACCGTTTTCTGAAATAAATTAAGAAATACATTGATGAAAATTTGCCAAAAAATACATAAGGAATGAAAACAGCTGCTACTTTTTAATCATCCAGGTTATCTAGGTGTCACTGATGCACCTGCATGGGTTTTACTATAAATTCTAGTGTCTATTATAATTCTCCAGGTTTAAAACTCAACTATTAAAAATGTGATCTCCAATAGAACTGCCATGTTCAAATCATAGGAGGAATGGTAATCACTGTATCACTGTCATCCTGTTGTCCATCGGTTTGCTTGAGGAGGCACCAGTAATATCTCCATTGTGAGACTTGTTGTTACTGTATTTGGCATATCGAATATGCCACGGGGAGCTTTCCAGACTCTGCCATACAGGCAGGAGAGTCTCGGTAGCCTGCCAGGTTCTCTGAGAGTGAGAACTAGACAACAAGAGGTCGCGGCAGGGGCTTGGTTTTATAGTCTCTGGATCCCAGCTGTTGATGGGATCACATGGCGCTGCAGCAGCTGGTGGGTGTAACTGTCTAGCTACTGGAAGATGGGGTATCTGGGATGAGGAGGCACCTATTGAAACAACCACACTACCAGGAATGGTAATATGTAGTGAAATCTCCTTGCACAGCGAATCCCAAATCTTGATGGGCAGAAAGACTTTGGGAAATAGATTCTTTTTCAGGTCTGGATTTCTACTCTCTCATCTCTCCAAACATAAGGATAGATAAAAAGATATCGTGGCTTTTTAAAAAATGTTATTGAATTACTGTGATATAGTTACAAGTTTTCATGTTTGGATTACAATCACACAAAGATTAAACACCCATCTTTCCACCAGTGCACATAATACTCCACAAATGAGCACAGCCCTCCTATGTCTGTCCCTCTCTTTCTGACACATTTCACTTAGCATGATACTCTCCGTGTCTATCCATTTATAAGCAAAGTTCATGACTTCATCTCTCCTAACAGCTGCATACGATTCCATCGTGCAGATGTACCAAAGTTTCTTTAACCAGCCATTTGTTCTAGGGCACTGTGGCTTTTAGAGAGAGGCATTGCTTCTTGCTTGAATTGTAGCACACAGTGCTCGGGTGTTGGGGGAGATGCCTTTCTGGGGGTGAAACCCAGCTATACTTGTCGGGCGGTTCAATGCAAGGACGCAGGGGTGATGGAGATCTCCCGGAGTACCTGGCTGGGTTCTTAGGGGCCTTCAAGCCTATACCTGGTGGTGTTAGGATTCACATTTGATCGGGTGCATGCAAAACATATGCCCCTGACTGCTGAGCTAACGTCCTGACCCTAAAGAGCTCCATTTTAAAAGAACTGTTGTAATACTAACAAACTATATTGTAACAAATGCCATAATTATATAAAACATAATATCACATATGTCATTATTAGTGATGGAAACCAGCATATAAATTTTATCATCTTATACTCACTAAAGTCTTGAAAGCTTACAGACTACAACCAGAATCACTGCCGAGAAAATCACGAATGGGCCTAGACATCATGCAGCACCTTCTATTTTGGAATTTTCATAATCAAAGTTGGAAAAAATACTGGAATGTATTTCTTAGAAGACTGAAAATTCTTTGAGAAATTTGGTCAAGAAGGAGAAAGATTTTTACCAATTCTTCTTTAAATACTTGTGCGTTCTAAAAGTGTTCCTTGGGAGAGATGAATAGCTAATGCAGACTTTGTGATAGATGTTATGAAAAGACAGATTTCTTAGATCGCCAGTGAAGAATCACTGTAATAAAAACTTTGCCTCTATTCCATCATTTTACAATCAGAAAGAACTAATGAATTTAATTCATCAATATTGCAAAATATTTCAGTGTACATAATAAATTTGAGGACGTAGATACCTAAAACATGTTACTTTCTAATATAAAGCATTTACAGCAAGTGTTTCAGTGCAAATGAATGTTTCTCTTTAATATGTAAAATTTAGATACCAGGTCAAACTACCTACAACATATTCTACTGTGATGAATTTCAATTAATCTGAAATAATCATATTAATAAAATTATATTAAATAAAATAAATTCTAAGAAAACGTATAATTATAAATGAGTTACATATATTGAATGCTAATCTCTTTGAAGAATGATATGTAGGGGCTAAGAAACAGTACAGCAGCAAGCTGTATGTCTTGCACAAGTTCAATCCCTAGAACCTCATATGATCCCCCTAAACCACATCAGGAGTGATCTCTGAAAGTAGAGCCAGAGTAAGCCCAGGCGCCACCATGTGTGGCCCTCAAACCAGAAGTAAAGAAATAAGTAATTCAATGTTGGATAAAGATCTTAATGTGAAGACTTTAATTTTCTAAATGAAAAAGTTAAATATTATGTAAACAGTCAGGTAAATTACTGCACTAATTATATAAACATCTACCTTTAAAAAACTATTTCTTTTTCTATTTAATAGACTTTTCTTAAATATATAAAATGAAAAATAAATGTCACTGAATTCTTAATTATATAAAACAAAAAATAAATGTTACTGAAAAACAATTCCATACCTGATTTTTAAGTAGTCAATAATAGCATTGGCTTGCTTTACATCAAAGATATTCCATTCCTCATCTTTTTGTTGGTGGGATGGTCCTATTTCAGCCATAACTTCTCCAACCCACTTTATGTTATCTTCTAAGGACATTTGAAGTGCTAAAATAAAATCAAAAGAAATGTTAAGTATTATTTTGATAGCTATTTTGGGAATAAAATAATCCAAGATGTTTCTTAAGTGTATAAAATTTATTTTGCAGTATTTGTGAGAATGAAATTGTAAAAAAATTATTATAGTAAATCAATAATTTTAATTTAGATAAAAATAGATGACACATCAATAATCATAAATTACTGTAATGATACTCAGTTATTAAAAGCATTAGTTCATTTTAAAATGAAAAATAATCTAAATCTAATGATTACTTTCAAATTAAAAAGAGAATATTTTATAGTTTTAAAAGTGCATCTGAGGAAATTACACAAGTTTGATGAGCCTTTGAGAAAATCCAACCAGAGTAGAGCCAGGAGTGGACAGACAATTTAGACACAGACAACCTTGCTGAACTCAAAGCTGAATATGTCAATAAAAAGAGTCAATCAATACTTGACTTTAGCTGTTATCATATGGGATTGTCAACAGATGTCAACAGATTTTAAACACCCATACCTTCACCAGTGCTCATTCTCCACCACCAAAAAACCCAGTATACCTCCATCTCACACCCTCCCCCTACCTGTGGGGCAGATTATTTTCACATTACTCTCTCTCTCTACTTACATCACATTCAATATTTTGACACCAGACCCACCATTATTATTTGAGACTTTACCCCAACACTCAGATCTGCTGAAAAGGCAACAGCAGACAATTTGTTTTCTATTGCTGTCTATGATGTCGCGTGGCTACAGTAGTGGCCACACAATTTTGAAATTCTGAAATTTTAACACTTCAATCTGGAGGGGTTTCTGTCAAAACCTGCTGGGTTCCAAAATTTTTTCCTGAGTCTCTGGGATCATGGCCGTTAAGCAGCTTGAGCAGGAGCCAGAAAGGCCATTCATGGGTGGCAACTCGAGGTCTTGTTGGGATGGGGAGGAAAGGGCCGGCTCCACCCCCATCCTGTGAGGCCCCGCGTATCTCATCACTGAGGGCCCAAATCTGACTGTCCAGTGGCTTCTGGAGGATGGTGGCTCCCAAGCCGCCTAGGGGGAGCAGGGCAGAGGAAAAACACCCTTTCCCCATGGGGTGGCCCAGCGACAGTAACCTACTGCGGGGTCCGGACGCATTTCTGCCAAAAGCCACTGGGTTCTGAGATTTGTTTAGAGTCTCTGAGATCATGGCCAATAAGCAGCTTGATCAGGAGTCAGAGAGGCTGTTCATGGGCAGTGACTCGGAGTCTCGTTGGGGTGGGGAGGAAAGGGCCGGCTCCACCCCTCTCCCGTGAGGCCCCGCATATCTTGTCACTGCGGGCCCAAGCCTGACTGTCCAGTGGCCTCTGGAGAATGGCGGCCAACGGGCCATCAGGGAGAATAGGCCAAAGCATGAAACTTATTCCCACCTGGGGTGTCCAAGTGCCGGTAACCTACTGCAGGAACTGAACATTTCTGCCAAAGCCGCTGGGTTTCAAGATTTGTTTCTGAGTCTCTGGAATCATGGCCATTAAATGGCTTGATCAGGAGCCAGAGAGGCGGTTCAAGGGCAGCGACTCGGAATCTCGTTGGGATGGGGAGGAAAGGACTGGCTCCACCCCCATCCCGTGAGGCCCAGCATTTCTTGTCACTGCGAGTCCAAACCTGTCTGTCCAATGGTCTCTGGCAGATGGCGGCCACCAAAGAGCCAAGGGGAAGCAGGCAGAGGGACAGTACCCTTACCCCCTGGGGTGGCCTTGCGACAGTGACCTACTGCGGGGTCTGCCAAAGGCCGCTGGGTTTCGAGATTTGTTTCCAAGTCTTTGGGATCATGGCCATTAAACAGTTTGATCAGGAGTCAGAGAGGCCATTAATGGGTGGCAACTCAGGGTCTCGTTGGGGTGGGGAGGAAAGGGCCGGCTCCACCCCCATCCCGTGAGGCCCCTTGTGCCTCGTCACTGCAGGCCCAATCCTGACTCTCCAATGGCCTCTAGAAGCTGGTGGCCACCGAGCCGCCAAGGGGAAGCAGGGGGATGGACAGCACCCTTTGCCCCCTGGGGTTGCCCAGCGACAGTAACCTACTCAGGGACTGGATGCATTTCTGCCAAAAGCAGTTGGGTTTCGAGATTTGTTTCTGAGTCTCTGGGATCATGGCCATTAAGCAGTTCAATCAGGAACCAGAGAGGCCATGTCTCCAATTGTATAGCTGAGCTGGAGGTGGTTTGTGGGTGTGTCTCCCACATACCTAATTTTTGGCCGCTTACTTTCTTGGTAAACTTTGCCCCAAGTTTTTGGGGTCTGGCCAAAGGCACAGCATCAATTTTGGGGTATCTGGAAGTCTGAAGGTACCATCAGGCTGCTGATGCACTTGCCTCACAGGTACAGATTGACCTGCTGGCAGGACAAGACCCCCTGATTTGCTCATTTTAACTTGTGGATATGACACAGTTTTCTCTCCTTTATGTCCGTCATGTGTGTGTGTGCAAGCACACACACACACACACACACACACACACACACACACACAATCCTCTACCCCTAAAATGAATTAATTAAGTACAAACCCCCCTGTATCCTAAATGAATGTAGATAATTACTCTCCAGATTGTCTTCTGTAAAGAGAAGAAGTAATACTGGATTGAGTGTTTGTTGGAGGTCAATCCAGGTGGGGACCTGAAAAAGGGCCCTGGGCTAGAGCTGCATGGCTCAGCATAAACTCATCCTCCCAATCCTGGCCAATCTCAGTATTTCCACTTCTTGCCAATGAAGTAGTTTTACTTTCAGGGAGGTTGAAGGGGGAAATTAAAAGCGGGAATGAGAACATTGGCTCATTTTTGGCTCTATCTGCTTCCAAATTAAATAACTACTTTGAGGAGAGAATGGCCGTATCCCCATATTACTATACAAAGGGAGTAACTTAAAATCTTAGGAAGACAATATAAGCCTTCATTTGCAATTTGTGTGGCCTAGACTCTATTCTATTTGAGGAATTAGAAAGAAGCATGGATCAATATAACTATCTTAATCAGTTTCAATGAATGACAGTTGGTTCATTTCTCACAGCCCTACTCAGTATGTCACATACATGAATTGGTGCTGGATAACTAGACTTTCCTATGCCAGGCTAAGTGAAGTTCAATTATCATTGTACTTTTCTTTTTCCATGATAAACTTCTTTGAGTATAGTGAATATAGTGGGAGTAACATCAGAAATGAAAAAAAAAATCTGTTGGATAAAAGTAATTCAAAACTTGAATAATTTTGTTAGTGAAATGGTATTAATTAGAAATTCAGAGGAAACAATCATTAGATAACTGATTATAATTCAAGATGAAATTATACTTCTCAAGCACAGAAATGCATTTAGATCACAATTTCCTTGTTTTGAAATATAACTCTTTACTACTGTTTTTTCTATGTCTAATGTCTTTCTATAGATAATGGTTTTTAAAATTAGAAAAGTTATCATTTTACTTATCAAATGGAAATATCTGCTCTTTTAAAAATCATTAGTGATATGAATAAAATATGAAAGATTAAATCTAAATAATAAGGGCTGTTAGAAATAAAATTTATTCTTAAAAATTTACAGTAATAAAAGAACAATCTAGACTTATAATTAGCCTGAAGGTTTAGGATAGTACTTCATATCTACTACTTACTAGCTAGGTTACTTGAATTTTATTTTCTTTTTCTGTAAATGGAAATGACGCCAATTCTCAAAATTATAGTTCTGTTATAAGGCTCAAGTGAGAAATTCATGTAAAAATCTGAATAAACTGAAAAGATTCAGAAAGCAGTGTATTTCATATGTAGAGTATTTTCTAAACTTCAATCTAAAGCAAGGAACAGTAGTGGCACTAGTCAAGGAGATGAGATTTCATTTGCTGGAGTTGACTCATGACTAAGAAGTATTTGAACTCTTTCTTATTTCTTTGATGATTTAAGAAAAATGGAGCAAATAGTAGAGGGGCCTCATAAATGTTTGCGTGAATTAAATAAGACTATTTGGAAAGCTAATGACAAAAGAATGCCCCAAGTTAATCCTGTTACCTTTATTTTTTCTGTTTGGGGATAATAAATAAATTTTATGAAAATACAATATATTTCCAGTTATTTACTAATATTCATTTTATATGCACGAAATAAAACTAGTTTACAGAGTTAGACACCATACAACTAGTCTATCTAACATGCTACATGTTCTCATTGATCTGGTTCAGGATAAAAATAGACCTCAGAATTTATATTGGTAGGGTGATCCTATACATCTTGTTTATCATAATATTTTAGTTTGGTGCAATTTGGCTCTAGGTGGGTTGTCTACAGAATGCTTTGCATGCATGTTTGTACATTGATGCTGCACATGCTTTAGATGTGAAACAAATCAGAAACACGGTCAATAAAACTGCAGTTCTCACATTAGTATTTTATTTATAGTGGTCTGCCACACTACAGTTAACATCGGAGATTGGAATCTTTCGTGCTTTTACTATTAAGATGTTGCTGGATGGGAATGCTCACTGTGTGTTCAAGATTGTACATCTTTTCAGTCTAAGCATAAACATAATTTACCTCCCTCCTTAGCACACTTGGTTAAGATTACATTCTTTCCTGATGATAGCTATAGTTGTTAGGTTTAAAGTTCTGAGGGGCATTTTTTTTCCTGCTAGAAAGAAACCCTGGCTTTGTAAAAAAAAGTATCATATGTGTACTTTTACACTTTCATGGTTTCTGAGTAGTTGATGAGCCTACTCAAAATTTTTTAAATTCAACGATGTAAGTTTGTGTAAAAATAGTTTTGAGTCAGTTATATGTAATGGAAAAACTTGAAGATGGATATACCACTTGGAATCTGGAATGTGAGATTTGTGAGCAATTTTAGTTCCTTTCTCATTCTGCTAGTCACTTTATTCTTTTAATGGTGACTTTCACAAAACAAAGTTATAACATTATTTGAAATCAAATAATCAAACCCTTATTTTCAGTGTTTATTTCTGAAGACTTCTTGCAAAATCCTAATATATGAAGATTTTCTCTTATTATTTCTTTGAAAATATTTGTAGTTTTGCATCTTAAATTTATCTCTGTGATCCAGTTTGAGTTCAAATTCAACTCAAGTACGTCTATCAACTTCCGTTCTTCTTAAACCTTTCATGAGCATTTTAATGTATTTCATTATATAAATCCTATCGATTTCTTATTAGATTTATAGATAAGAACTTATTTTGCACGTGTGATATGTGTGTGGTACTGTGATGATGTGTATTGCTGGAGAAAACAGAGCTTCATAAAAGACAAGGTATGTGCTCTACTGTCAGCTACATCCCTGCCCTATTTTGAGAAATTTGTAACAGATACTACCAGCATATTAAAATGCAACCGATTTCTGTTTTGAAAAGTCCTCCTCTAACTATGACTACTATTTCCGATCTCTTTCTTGAGTATAGGTATGAAGATAATTCTAGCCTCAAGAAGTTAGAAGGATTCTTTCCCCTACTATTTCTGGAACAGATTATATGTAATTCTTAGATTTTACATAATCCAATTACACATAATTAGATTACATATAGTTCTAATAATTTAGTTTGATAGATTTTTTTCTATCAGTGAAAACATATGGGTCTGAGATTTTTTTCCAGAGTTTTAGCAAGATATTAATTAATTAAATATTTAAGACTGCAGATTATCTATTTTATCTAGAATGATTTTCATTGATTTGTGGTTTAAGAAATTGATCTATTTTATCTGTTTTCCAATACATGAATATGAACAGTATTCTCTTGATATTCTAATAATGACAGTTGGGGCTGTAAAAGAACTCCCTCTTTTATACTCAATCTGCCCCTTCTATTTTTTTTCTTGGTTTTGCTTCTTACGCATCGACGTAATTGTCTCAAAAGCTTTTTAGTTTTGTTGAATATTCTCTGTTGGTTTTCTGTTTTCAGTTTCACAAATTGCTACCCTTCATCATTTCTTCTTTTATTGACTGATTTAAATTTATTTTTTAATTACTGATTTGACCAGTTTACAAACTTTACATATTTTTTTTGTAGTCCTGTCAGTTGCTTCTTCCACCCAACCCTCCTGCCCAGAGGTGGAATGGTAGGGGCGGGGGGAGGGAGAGGGAAGCACACCTGGCAGTTCAGGGTCCTGACTCCACACTCAGGAATCATTCCCAGGAAACTCAGGGTGCCATATTGTGGTACTGGGGACGAAACCCATGTTGGATATATGCAAGGCATGCAAACAATCTGCCGTACTGTCTCTTGAGCCCCAGTATTTCTACTTGTAGTTTATATCTTTTGTCAAATGAGTGGAGTTTTCGTGATTATTTCTTCAAATACCCAGCACTGTGCACATTTCTCTTGTTCTTTCAGAGTTCTAAAGTTTATTAGAACGTTGGTTGCCTCATAGGTCCCTCAGGCTTTGCTCATTTCTGTTTCAATCTAATTTTTACCCATGCCATTTACAAGCTAGAAAATTGACTTCACTATATCTTCAAGTTCACTGGCTTTCCTTATTTATCTGTCTGTCTACATTCTGCTATGGATGATGTGCACTGAGACTTAAATTTTTGTCATTGTACAATTTGACTATAAAATTTACATTTATTTCTTTTAAAATATTTTTTGAATTTGGTAATGTGATTCTTTGCACCTTACCTTTCTCCATGATAATTTATCTGTTAACAGTTGTTTCCAGATTCTTCATAATGGTTCACTTGAGCACTTTTATTATGGGTGTGTGTGGGGGACGGGGGTGGGCAGTGTTCCCAGGCAATACTTAGTGGGTAGGAAGACATCTTTGGTTCTCCCAGGCTCAGGAATTCAGTGTTCAGCCAGGGAGTACAATAGCAGTATGAGGCCACCCCAGCTGTGCTTAGGGGGTGCAAGCAGTGCTAAGAATCAAACTCCTGCATGTAAGTCACGCAATCCAACTCATCGAGCTGTTTCCCTAGGTCTGGACAGGTTTATAATAGACACTTCACAATCTTTGACATATTTTCAACATATATTATACATGTAATTTTTTTTGGTTCTTTAAGTGAACCAAGTTTTTACTGAATGAAATTAGAAGGAAGAGGGTGGCAGGAGCGATATGCATTCTAGAGAACACAAGCTTAAAAGAGTAAGTAAGTGACAGAGACATAAAAAGATATATGTTCATGGGAGAATACAGGTGCAGGGTGGGGATGCAGAGTAATACTTCACAGGTAAGGCACTTGTCTTGAATGGGGCGGACCCATGTTTGATTCCCAGACCACTAAGCCCACCAGGAGTGATCCCTGAGCACAGAGATAGGAGCGAGTCCTGAACACTCTGAGTGCAATGCAATATTCACTCCCCCATGTAAAGTAAAGCAAAGATTCTATAAATATTCTTATTATGAAGAAGGAACGGAAGGAGAGGGAGGAGGGAGGGGGGAGGGATGGAAGGAGAGAGGGAAGGAGGGGGAGGGAACGGAGGGGGAGGGAAGGAAGGAAGGAAGGAAGGAAGGAAGGAAGGAAGGAAGGAAGGAAGGAAGGAAGGAAGGAAGGGAAGGAAAGAAGGAAATGAATAATAGAATTGAAAACCAATGCAAGCATATCTTTCCTAAAACCTAAATACTTTTAGGTTTTTTGTTTCACTTCTGGTCTCTTGGTTTTGATTTAAGATTCCAGTTTTAGTACTACCACTATCCAGCTGTTGTCCCTTTTCTCTAACTACTTGCTCAATTCTGAGACTGTGATTATAAACCCCTATAGGGGCTGCTCTGGGGTTCATCTATGCTAATGAGAATTAAACACAGCACCTAGCACATAGAGCACAGAATTTGAAATAAAAGAATGACAGACTTTTTTCTTTCTTTTCTCCCTTCCAAGAAAACAGTTATATGTGTGTTTTTCTCAAACAAAATCTATCATGTTTAAAATTATTCCAAAGAAAAATTTCCAAATTTCCAACAGTAATTAATTTTTTGTAAAAAATACCACAAAATCTAGGAGTATATGAATATTGTTTTTAATGCTTTTTAAATATTGACCAAAGCATTTTCTTTTACCAGTCATTGTGAGAGCCTAGAAAAATAAGTAAAATGAGAACAAAAGAGGTTAAGCAATGAAAAAAAAACTGAATCTGAACTAATTGATATTTTTGGAATGGATGGTGCTAGAAAATTTTAATGAAATTAATATCATTGGAAAATGTATTATTAGTGAAATTTAGCCTTGTTAAGTACTATTTGAAATTTTACAACTCAGAGAAGATATTGAGCCCATCTCTTCCATACCCAAGGGAAAACACATAATATTCACTAAAAGAATTAAAATAAAATTAGGAGTGTTTCCTTAAGAACATTAATTTAGACAGTGAACTAAATTTTCTTTCTTAAAAATATAATGTACTTACTGCTAAGGTTATGAAGTAACATATGTAATAGAGTCATAAATCTTGAATATTGAATTATAGTAAATTCCATTCCTTTACTCCACAAAAATCCAGATACATAATAATCTAACACAATGGCTTCTTTGAAACAGATTTTAACATTTTTAAAATTCAAAAAATTTTCCAGTGTTCTGTGACAAAAAGAAAAATTCAGATATTAAAATGAATTATAATGCAGTTCCTTTTATAATTTTTGAAAACAATTTTTGAGTTAAAATTCTAGAGTGCCAATAACCTTAAAAATGCCACAATTATATCAAAATCCAAAATTCTTGTATTTCCTCTGTATTCTTCTAATCCTCTTATTTTTCCTCTTCTGTCCTTCAATACTAAACATTTTCCCTGAAATTCAATGAAGTTTTTTTCCTTCCATTTATACAATCAATTTTATCTTCAGAAACGTTCCATTTCTGTTTTAGTTAAAGGTTTTAGATTGTTAAATATATCTTGTGGCTTTCCTTTTCAAAGAATTCTAATTAAGTATATTTTACCATACCTATAATTTTCTCATTAACCTTCAAAATGTTTTCAAATCAATTTGTTTCATTTTATATACTTTTCTCATTACTGTCACTCAAGGCCCCTTACTGTTTTCAGCACTATTAATTAGTTGTACCTCAGGATGCTTATAAATTCACTTCTGCAATACATTTACATCTTACTCATTTTTAAAAAATATGCATTATCTTTTGTTTTATTGTCTTTGAAGTTTTTTTTGTCTTTGAAGTTTTATTTGTTATACTCCTATGAATACATTCTATATTTTAAAAATTTATGATTAAATGGGCCAGAGCAATAGCACAGCAGGTAGGGCGTTTGCCTTGCATGCAGCCGACGCGTTCGAGTCCTCCATCCCTCTCGAAGAGCCAGGCAAGCTCACCGTGGCGTATTCAATATGCCAGAAACAGTAACAACAAGTCTCACAACGGAGACGTTACTGGAGCCTGCTCAAGCAAATCAATGAACAACGGGAGAACAGTGCTAACAGTGCTAATGATTAAATACTTAAACATACTCTTTTGTCTGCGTTTATAACTATGGTATTTTCACAGAATATTTTCTTTCTTTGTTATTTCTTTTTCCTGTTTTTTTTTTTAAGTTCTTTTCTTGCATATTCCTTTTCTAGTACTGTGAACTGTTTATGATACAAATTACTTTCTGTGTGAAATTAGCTTTTGTCAATTTTTGTTGGTTTTATTCTTTTTTTAATAAATGAGGGGAATATTTTTATAACCATGGAGGAGCAAATTTTTACTATCACTTACACAATGTTTCTTATAAATATGGGTAGAATCTGTTCTAAGCCTATATATCCTGCTGTTGCAAACAAAGGTGTTTGAAAATCAGTGTCAAAATTTTCGCCTCTCCCAGAAAAATACATATAAGTTTTTTAGCTCATTATAAGATCTGAAAGCTTGCTCATCCTCCTATTTTCTACTACACTTCTAAAGGTTTTTAAGACTTCTGGTAACCATTTTTATATTTTGTGGTTTGGGTTTTCAAAATTCCCTTTATTTTGACAAAGATGGAATTTCCATCATTTACAAAGATGGAAATTTCCATGTTATTTATATGCTGTTTCTGAGGGAGTGTGCATATGTTTGTAAAAATGAAGTCCTCGTAACTTATACTATTGAAATAAATTACATGATAAGAATAATAAATATTGAAGATGAAACAAATTTTGGAAAAATTGTGTTGTTTAACTAACTTTAATATCCATTGTTTCAATTCATAAAAGAGTGAATTTCTTCTGTGGAAAAAAATACAAAAAAATAAATAAACAATTCTTCCTGATAGCCAGTTAAAACCACAAAATAATCATTTCTAAGATGAACATCATTTCTTGATCCTTTTTTAAGGCTTTGAGTCAGCCAACTATGGATTAAGTCTATATATTCCATTTTGTGGTATTTTATGTGATTTTGTGTGTCTAGACTTACTTTTTCGAGATCTTTGTAAGACTTTTTTTTTGTGCTATACACAATTAAAAATATTCTGGCAGATTTGTCAAGCCAGAATTCAAGTGGTTAAAGCAAAGCTAATATGAATAGGCAGGTACTCTGGAAGATAGGAGGCTGTTTCAGACATCTTCAATTTATCCAATAGTTATTAGACTGCAAGATTTAGTTTTTTATGTTCAAGATACAAGTTCATCTCAAGTGAAAGTACAAAATCATACAGTAATAAAGAATTACTACATTACAATAGAATTAATTAATGGAAGAGGTAGAAAGCACAGAAAAAAAGCCAAATATATGACATATGGGAACTTGAAACATACCAGAAATAGTATTTCAAAACAGCAAGAGAAAGCATAATTCTTAAAAAAAAAAATGTGATCAGGGAACTAGCTATCAGTAGAGAAAATGAAATCCCACCTTACCCAATACATAAAAATAAAGTCCAGGTGGAGCAACTAAAATAAAGCCCCTTATAAGTATTTTATTTTAAAATCACATTCTATTGACACTCTAAATTTTGGTTACTTATCCCTCTACTGATTTCTGCTCTCTAAGGGTCCTAAGAAAAAATTTGAGGCCTCCTTGATTATTTTCCTTCCAAGGTAACGTGGCTTACCCCAGAGAGAAGGTAATGTATGATATTTTATGCAACTAAAATCAAAGTTTTAATTTTAGGAATAAAATTAAATTTAAAATAAAACATTTTTTAAAAATGATTCACTCTTGGAGATATCTTATGATCTGCTTGCTTTAATCTGCATCTTTAATAGGTTACCTTAAATCTGCTTTCCATTCTACTGACTTGATCTTCAACAACCCAAATTCTTCTATACTGGTTTTCTCTTTCACTCTTCTTCCCTGTTTTTCTTTGTTTAAAAGCTTCTTAGCTACATATTTTATCACCTCTTTTTAATCTCTTATTTTATAGAGTGTCTCGTTAGTCATTATTTTTAACATAATATTTTCTTGTTTTCCGTGAGTAGATCTTTCTCCTAATTGTACTCTTCTGCTTTCTGCAGTGTTGTTTTAAAAAACGAAATATTTTACCTAAACGGTTGCACTGTGCACTGTAGCACTGTCCTCCCATTGTTCATTGATTTGCTCGAGTGGGCCCAGTAATGTCTCCATTGTGAGACGACTTGTTACTGTGTTTGGCATATCGAATATGCCAGGTGTAGCTTGACAGGCTTTGCCGTGTGGGCGAGATACTCTTGGTAGCTTGCCGGGCTCTCCTTAGAGGGGCAGAGGAATCGAACCCCGCTCTGTGGGGCCTGGCCGTGAACAAGGCAAATGCACTACTGCTGTGCTATTGCTCCAGCCCTATTGCATCTATTCTTTTATTTCATGTTTATTAATATATTTATATATTACATATAATTAATATATTATTATTAATACATATTATTAATATAGGCAACTACTTGCATTAGTGAATTTTGATGGAATCTCATTGAGGTCCCAACACCTCTCTTGACTCACATCTCAAATTCTCTCCTCCCACATCCAATTACTTTCCTGACTACCATTTGAATTTTCACTTTCAATATGAACTACAGGCTGAAGATTTTCATTCTTATTCTTCATTTTGTAATTTCACTCCAAATGGATTATGCAAAAAAAGCATTCAGATGTGAAGTTTCCATGCATTTTATTGGCAAATTTGTAGACCTTTTCTCGTGGTTAAATAAGGGAAGAGGGAATGTGAGAGTGATTGTTACAGCTACATGCAATACTGAAGAGAAAGAGAATAATGTATAATCGTGATGTAGGAAGCAATACTATAGTAATTACAGTAAAATATTACATCATTTTGCATGCTTTTAAAATAGCACTACATTTAATTTTTCTAATATGACATATATAGAAACACACCTTATGGCAAGTACTTAACTACTCATGGAGGCTGTTAAAGAAGGGTTATTAAAAGATCTCTCAGTGTTATTTCTGTGTTTAAATTGTTATTTAATTGAATTCTTAAAAATGACTTGGATAGGCAGTTAAATAAAATCAGGGCTACATTAAAACACGTATGACCGATGTTACTTAGATCATCATGAGAATATGACTAGACACTTAACTTCACTTGAAATGCACTCCAAAAATGTTTTAATGATATTTTCATGTTTTGCCTTGGTTGACTGCTTTCATGGAGTACAACTTTTAATTTTAAAAGGTAAGAAAATGTGCTGATTTCCTATTATTTATTTAAATAGATTTATAGCTTTAGAGACTATGAGTTTTGGCATTCTAGTGTCACTTGATGACAGGACACCTAAGTTTCATTTCTGTCACTTTGAAAAGTATATAATCACCATTTATAATAATAATACTTTAAATGGAATGTGAGTGAATGTAGACACTTTAGAATTTTGTTACACAAATCATATAAAGAAACTCAAGACATTTGCTTTGCAATGAAATGGCTCCTGATATAACACAGCATTATTAATTCAAAATTGATGTCCTTAAATTTGTGATTATTTTAGGTGAACTCTATGAGTGAGACATTCTAAAAAAGGTTAACCTGCTATTAAACCTAGTTATTTTCATAACTACTCTAACTTTAATATCACTCTCTGTATCATTTAGTTTTGCCACAGACCTCAATTTTAAAGATGAAAATACTTTAAGAACTTAGATATTTTAAAATGAAGAAAGTCAATAATCTAGGAGAGAAAAAAAAAGGCTGTCACACAAGGTCTGACATACATACACACAAGTTTAGGTGTGGGGGGCAAGAGCAATAGTATATCTGATAGGGCACCTGCCTTGCATATGGCCAAACGGGTTCAATCCCTGGCATCTCATATGGTCTCCCAACCCCTTCCACGAATGATCCATGAGTGCAGAAGCAGGAGTAACCCCTGCGTTATCTCTCAGTGTTGCCCAAAAATAAAAACAAAAAAACAGTTCGAGATCTGGTAAGCTAAAGTCTAAAAGGCATATTTGTATATTTTTCTTGTAATATGAATTGCATTTAATATAATATCCTTCATCTAATTTTAACACATAATATATGCTGTAATAAATATTTGATTTTTCATATGTACTTCATTATTTTATAGAGTATTAAATACCTACTTTTAACTTTAATGATCAATAAATTTGTGAAGTAGTGAGAGATAGAAACTAATATTTTTCAAAAAGCAAAGTAATCAGTAGCATTA